GTGTGACTCGACGAAGTGGACAATCACCCACCACTGTGAAGAGCTCCGGGCGAAGTGAGGAGAAAACTTGGCGCTCTATAATAATTGTTGATCGTAACTTCTTGTTTATCCTAATAATGCCTTTTTGAGAACTTAGTTATCTTGTAGAATTTGGCTTTTCCTATTGTCTGTCGTATTTGACCTTCGCACTGCCTGGTAAAACTTCTTTGGGATAGCTCTGTTCGGGATTAGCGTTCCGTTAAATAATATTCTGTCCCGATATTTTATTGCCAGCAATTTATCCCCAAACGCGATTCATTTCAGTACAAGTGCATAAATGTGCCCTAATTTGCACTTGTACTGAGATGAATCGCGTTTGGGTATAAATAGATTTATTTATTGTACTTGCTTTCAAAGTTTTATTATTTATTATTATTTATTTAATAAACCTAACGCTTATGGTGTCCCGTAGGATTTTTACAGAATGTTTCGGAAAACTTTACAAATATTAAATAATAATAATAGTATGCATGATCACTCACGGATGTTGAAATATTAAGTATTCCAATACTATATTAAGCTGTGATTTGAATAATTCAACTGAAGGAGTACACATAACATGGGATGGAAGAGAACTCCATGCACCACACCCTAAATGCAAACGGGCAATCTCGGTCACTGTTCTGGGTCCTCAACTTCAATGTATGTCCTCTGAGATGATTATTTTGAGATAAAGTCAGCACAGAACAGCAAGGGTGGTTGGGTTGATGCGGTGTTAAGTTTAGTCCCCCCCCACCCCCAAGTCGACGGTACTGAAATGAGTAATGCAGTCTTTCAGAATGTCTTGTTATACAGACCTTTTACCAAGCTTGGAAACAGTGCTATTTTGAACTGCCGGAAAGAACGTTTGAGTAATCCAACTTGCTTTAGAGCCATGGATGGAACAGTGCATGAAACATCTCAAGTCCTCTTATACCATTTCGAGGCGGTGGTGGCCAAGTGGTTAGGTCACCAACTTATGACCCGGAAGTCTTGGGTTCGAGCTGCTCCACCGCCGCCCGTCTTTCCTATTTCTGTATTTTCCTCAGGCAGCCTTTGTATGGCCGCAGCCCCCTTCCTGAAAGTTGACTGCACATTTGTATACTCAATAAATAAAAAAGGAGGTAAAAAGACATTTATTATCATCATATTACTCCCAAATCCCTTTTATCGGTGGCATGCGGTAGTATTTGGTTTCTCAGAACGTAGGGGAAACGAGTCTTGTGCCGTATGCAAATAATTTTGCAGTATGAAACGTTTAATTCAATATCATTAGCGATTGACCACAGGTGGGCTAAATTGGTCGTTTCTTGGAGTGCCAAGTAATCCCCCGGATGTGTTATTGTTCTCCAGATTTTAGCGTCGTTTGCAGATAATAGTGCATTTGACCCAAGGACATGTGATAGGTCGTTTATAAATGCAAGAAGATGAGGCCCCAGCGCGAATCCTTGAAGAACCCCTCGGTCAACGGTAATAGGTTTAGATAATGAATCACAAACACGAACTGATATGGTTCTTTTTTGGAGAAACTTCGATTCAGTCGTTAACCAAACCTCTTACTCAGCGGTGGCAATATTTTCTGTAAACTAACCACAGGAGTAGGATGTGCTAACTATTTAATGGTCTCGTGAAAACACCGTGAATTTCATGGAAGGTGATCCCCTAAACAGAACAAAGCATACAGTTACTTATGTATTCCTAGATTTAAGTGTCCTAGTGAATTTCGGGGAGAGTCGTCGTCACGCATGACGCCTAATTCCCTATGTTCGATACTAGTCTGCTAAATTCTTTAACCGGGCTCTTATAGTTTTTTTTTCAAAATAGAACCAGGTAAATGTTTCATTCATCGTCACTGGTCTGTCTTCATCTTCTTCAGATAATTATTGCTCTTAAGCAGGTTTTTTTTCACTTAAACCGATCAATATTTCTGTTACCCTTTGCCCGTTTTCCGCTCAAGCAGTACTGGACTTCGATTCCGGTTGCATTCCTGGCCTGACCCCCATCTCCACTCGGTGTTCTGCGAACGAACTCCCCATTATTAGTGGCGTGGGATGCTTGGCTGCACCCCGTATCCAAACTACAGATAGTAGCGGAGCTGCTTCCTCGTCATTGTCTTCCAAAAGCTCGTTCACTCCACTTCATCACCGCCCCTCGAATGAGCCTCTGATCAATGTGGTCGAAGTGTGGTTGGCCGACCCGACACAAGCTAAAACTGTGATGACTATGTGTGCGGGTAACCACGCTCTGTTCATGCGTCGACGTCAACCAGATACGGTAGAAGTGCAACAGATGCGTGCCCAAGCACGAGAGGAGCGGGCACGGCGTGAGGTGAGCTAACCAGTTAGGCCATTTTTCACACTCACTAAGCAACACCGTCTAATCATGAAGGAGGACGTGTTCGTACTCGAAAGTGCTAATCATTTGTCTGATGTTGCCTTCAGTCTGTGACCATCTGCCAAATGTAGAAACACTCCCCGGACTCATCCTTCCCCTGAATTCCTCAAATATTCGCTACACTTTTGTAACACTTGGATTCATTTAACTATAATATGTTTTGGTCGCATATCATCGGGATTTTAGTCTGGCATTACTGATTCATCCGTGGTGCCCAGATAACTATGTAATGTTCAAACTTTATTTACGTTAAAGAACCATTGATTCTATTTGCGATGCAGTTAAAATCCATGGCTACTATGATTATCACCATGAGTAATCAGTGTTTGCACAGGAAAACTTAAATGTTAAGCA